TAGAGAATTGTCAGTCACATCGGGTGTCAACTGCACTTTAATTAAAAAAAAAAGGTAAAATGGGATCAAAATCTAAAACATATTCTTAGGGCACCTGGGTGGCTCAGTTGGTTAAGGGTCTGCCTTCAGCTCAGGTCATGATCCCAGGGTCCTGGGATCGAGCCCCGTGTTGGGCTCCCTGCTCGGCGGGAGGCCTGCTTCTCCCTCTCCCACTTCCCCTGCTTGTGTTCCCTCTCTCACTGTCTCTCTCTGTCAGATAAATAAATTAAATCTTTAAAAATAAATAAATAAATAAATAAATAAATAAATAAATAAATAAATAAAATCTTTATAAAGGGGGGGGGCTTTCACTGGCCAAGTCTGAAACAGTTTGAGAATCAAAATAAATAATATAGTAATAGATTTTTTTAACTTTTAATGATTTTTATTTTTATTTTTTTTTAAAGATTTTATTTATTTGACAGAGAGAGACACAGCAAGAGAGGGAACACGAGCAGGGGGAGTGGGAGAGGGAGAAGCAGGCTTTCCACAGAGCAGGCTTTCCGCAGAGCAGGGAGCCTGATGCTGGGCTAGGTCCCAGGACCCTGGGACCAGACCTGAGCTGAAGGCAGACGCTTAACGACTGAGCCACCCAGGCGCCCCTTTTAATGATTTTTAAAGTAAAAATAGGACTTTATGAGTTGATAATTACATGAATAAATAAATAAGAAGGGAAAATTCCACTTCACAGTAGAATTCCAAGTAATAAATGCAGAAGTAATGATGGAATTAGGAAATCACTATTTGCTAATCATTATAGTAACAATTAATTTAGGCAAGAATCACCAATGGATCCTAAAACTGGTAGGTGAAAGTGTAATGAGAAATAGGATAGGTATTTTAAAATATCTTTTTATAAAATACTTATTATTAATAAGTATAATACTTAATAATTAACTTCATAGTGGAGAAACTTAGCAGACATCATTTAAACCAATTGATAAAAGCTAATTATCACTAGTTATGGGACAAACTGACGTCATGTGCCCCCTGATATGATGCGTTAAGAAGAACATAGCAACATACTGTGGTATTGCTGCCCCAAATGCATTAATCAGGAGGTAACATCAGACAAACCCAAACTGAGGGAACTTCAACTGTGATTGACCTGTATATTTCAAAAATGTCAAGGTCAAAAAAGGCAAGAAAAGACCAAGAAACTGTTCCCAATTTGGAGCTCTCATAACAATTAAAATTAGTACAAATTTTATAAGATTTTTCAAAACAATATACATTCCAAGTTTTGGTATATAATTGTTAAACAGAGAGAGTAAAATGATATTGGAACTATATCTTTGGAATCATGTATCAGTGGATTAATAGTACTTACTGCGAGAATGGGACAGGTTTTGGCATTAATTTTATTCCTTTTTAAATTTTTTCATTTCTAAAAAAGATGTCAGTGCCCCCCAAGACAATGTTCATTTAATTAAGTGGATGGGGAAGGAAAGCATTTTGTTATAACAATGTCCTTTAATTGTTTGTATATCTTTCAAGTTAGAAGCCAAGTCACATAGTGATCGAATATCAAAAATTATTCTATTGAGCTCTCAGCTGATAATTCAAATTTTTTTTAAAGATTTTATTTATTTTTCAACAGAGAGAGAGAGAGACAGCGAGAGAGGGAACACAAGCAGGGGGAGTGGGAGAGGGAGAAGCAGGCTTCCCACTGAGCAGGGAGCCCGATGCGGGACTCGATCCCAGGACCCTGGGATCATGACCTGAGCCCAAGGCAGACGCTTAACGACTGAGCCACCCAGGTGCCCCGATTTTTCTTTTCCTCTACTTATTTATTTATTTTTAAAAGATTTTATTTATTTATTTATTTGACAGAGGGAGACACAGTGAGAGAGGGAACATGAGCAGGGGGAGTGGGAAAGGGAGAACCAGGGTTCCCACTGAGCGGGGGGCCCAATGCGGCGCTCAATCCCAGGACCCTGGGATCATGACCGGAGCCAAAGGTAGACACTTAATAACTGAGCCACCCAGGCGCCCCTCCTCTACTTTTTTAAAAAAGATTTTATTTTTAAGTAATCTCTACATCCAACGTGGGGCTCAAACTCACAAGCCTGAGATCAAGAGTCACATGCTCTTCCAACTGAGCCAGCCAGGTGCCCCCCATAGCACACTTTTATTCCCTTCCTTCTCTTTACCTGTGCCATCTCCTATATTGATATCATATAGACCAGCACTGTCCAACAGAAACAGAATGCAAGCCACTTGTATAATTTAAAATGTTCTAGTAGCCAATTAAAAAAACACAAAACCAATTTCTAAAAAGCTTAGGTGTGCCTGGGTGGCTCAGGTGGTTAAGCATCTAACTCTTGATCTCAGCTCAGGTCTTGATCTTAGGGTCAGAGTTTAAGCCCTATGTTGGGCTCCATGCCAGGCATGGAGCCTACTTAAAAAAAAAGCAGTTTAACTCAAAATATCAAACATACTATCACTTCAACATATAATCAATATAAAAAATGATCAACAAGATATTTTACATTCTCTTGTTTTCATACTAAGTCTTCAAACCGAGTGTGTATTTCACATTTGCAGCACATTTTAATTCAGACTAGCCACATTTCAGGTGCTCGATAGCCACATGTGGTTAGCGGCTACCACATTAGAGCAGTTTTTGAGTTTTAGTTTCAGATTATAACTGGGTTTTGTTTTGTTTTACATTGACATTTATTTTGACTTAATGACCTACAGCTTCTCATCACTGTTTCTTGCATTTCACAGTCTAAGAACTTTGTGTTTTATGGATCTCTTATCACAAGTGCCTAGTGAATGTTATAAAATATTAATGGCACCTGATGCAAGAATTATCAGATTATACAAAGAGGATATGAAACTGTTCAAAGGTTTGGAGTTGAGTGAGACTTCATGGATAGTAATCTGCACTGGGTCAAATTACTGTTTTTGAGGATGATTTTAAGATTTTATTTATTTATTTATTTATTTATTTATTTAT